AATATTACTCCCTCATTGTCAATAAAGGACAAGGTCAGGCTTGACAAAGCCCTGGCTGGGATAATTTAGTTGGGGATTGGTCCTGCTTTGAGCAGGGGGTTGGACTAGATACCTCCTGAGGTTCCTTCCAACCCTGATACTCTATGATTCTAAGGTATATAACCCTTCTCCAACACACTGGAAATGGAGAGGAGACAGAGAGAGCCCCATATGCAGTACATATCTGTGATGAGAGGTTCTCGGGGCCCCATTTTCCTCCCAAAGAATGCCCACAATCACATCCAGCGTGGGGAGAAGCAGTCCCTTGCAGAAGGATAGGAGTCAGGCTCTTCTGGTGTATAGTCACTAGTGGAGGAGATACGAATCGGAATGTGCAGGCACTCACTCGTTACATCACAAGTACTTTCAGGCTTGCATTCCTTTCATTCTTCGGAGCAGATGACACGACTGGACCCCTCGCCATTGGCATTTGGGGGCACTGATGTCTGATACCATCGGCTTAGCTCTTTAATGCCTCTAGGAATATTCTCCATGCCACATCTTATATAGTCGTAGCATGAGTACGCAACAAATGGACTGTGAATCCTGCTGTTGTGTAACCACAACGAATAACCTGTGAAGCCTGGCTCTGTGGTGCCAAAATTAAACATATTAATAGAACCTTTAAGGGGCCAGTAGATGGGTAGGTAGAAGAATTGCACAAATAGGATATAATTTCACCTGGCAAGTTCAGGGAATGGACGGCACCAGTTGTGCATGTTCCAAAAACTGATGGGCATTTCAGAATTTGTGAGGATTATAAAGTCCCGGTAAACTCCTGGTTGTAGGTGAATCGATATCAAATTCCAAAAGCAGAAGAATTCTGTGCTAATTTGGCAAGAGGGGTGACATTTATAACGTTTCATTAGCCTCAGTCATATCAGCGGGTTGTGGAAGAGGATATTTTTCATTGAAGGGCATAGCTAGTACACCAGCGTTCAGAGAATAGTGCATTATGTGCTGCAGGGGTTAAATGGGGTCATCTGTTGTTTGGAAGCCACACTGATTATTGGGAAAGATACTGAAGAAAGTGTAAGAATCCTCAGAGTTTCTGAGAAGACTCTAAAAATATGATTTTACAGGTAGAAAAAGAAAAAAAGTGCTTTATTCCTGCATGGAAGTTGTTTGGGACATAGCAGAGATGCAGAAACATCCCTTGAAAAATAATGCATTACGGAGAATGTGGCTGTACCCTGAAATATTTTAGAGTTTGGATCATTTATAGCAGTGCTGAATGGTTGTGAAAGATTCATTCCAAATTTATCAGCTTCAATCAGCCAAGAGTTTGCAAAGTTAAGAAGAAAATGCAAAATGAGGATAGCTCCAGAGATAAAACTGAAAAGGAAGCAAAAGCAAAAGTGAAAAGCTTCTATGTACTGGGGCATTATATTTCAGAGCTTCCTATACTCTTAGCATGCACTGTCTCTCCCATGGGCTTAGGAAATACCATTCCACAAATATGTAAAGGGGGAAAGATAAACATAACATTTTCTTCCAGAACATATAAAAAGCCGAGGAATTACTCTCATTATAAAAGAAGGGCTTGGCACTATTATGGGGATAATTAAATTTCATGAGTGCTTGTCAGGAAAATATCCCCCTCAACTCTTTAGTAAACATACTGATCCCTGATTCTTGGATCTGGCCAAACTGTGCTCAGTACAAGGCCAGAAGCAAGACTAATGATGGTTTTATGACATCACAGCAGTCCACCAATTCTTGGGGCAATCAGGGGTCAGTTCAACCCCAGGGTAATTTAGAGCATCCCAATTATTCTGGCATGTCACTGACCAGAAGGTGATGGATTACACCAGCCTGGGATCACTGTAGCATGACACACTCTTGGCCACATCTCTTTATGTCCTCTACACCAAGGAGACCAGAATCTAGCCTACTAGGTCCAAAGGCACCAAGTATATCGCACTTCTAACAGCACCCTGGACAGAGAAAAGGGCTCTGTTTCTGACTGTGTATCAGTATAACATCAAGGACAGAGGGCCCAATTAAAAAAAAAGTTTACCTTTTTCTGATAAAAAGAAAAGGAGTACTTGTGGCACCTTAGAGACTAACAAATTTATTTGAGCATAAGCTTTCGTGAGCTACAGGTCACTTCATTGGGTGCATGCAGTGGAAAATACAGTGGGGAGATTTTATATACACAGAGAACATGAAACAATGGGTGTTACCATACAGACTGTAGCAAGAGTGATCAGGTAAGGTGAGCTATTACCAGCTGGAGAGCGGGGGGAGGGGGAAACCTTTTGTAGTGATAATCAAGGTGGGCCATTTCCAGCAGTTGACAAGAACGTCTGAGAAACAGCAGGTGTGGGGGGAGGGATAGTTTTACTTTGTGTAATGACCCATCCACTCCCACTCTTTATTCAAGCCTAAGTTAATTGTATCCATTTTGCAAATTAATTCCAATTCAGCAGTCTCTCCTTGGAATCTGTTTTTGAAGTTTTTTTGTTGAAGAATTGCCATCTTTAGGTCTGTAATCGAGTGACCAAAAAGATGGAAGTGTTCTCCGACTGGTTTTTGAATGTTATAATTCTTGACGTCTGATTTGTGTCCATTTATTCTTTTACGTAGAGACTGTCCAGTTTGGCCAACGTACGTACATGGCAGAGGGGCATTGCTCGGGGGGGGGGGGGGGGGAATAAACATGGGGAAATAGTTTTACTTTGTGTAATGACACATCCACTCCCAGTCTTTATTCAACAATGATGAAAGCTTATGCTCAAATAAATTTGTTAGTATCTAAGGTACCACAAGTCCTCCTTTTCTTTTCACAGTAGATCTGCCGCTTTTCATTCAGCAGCAAATGGGCTAGAAGAACCCCTTCCACAGATACTAAAAGGGCATTAAATAATTAAGTTTGCAACATTTGTATTGCAAATTTTCTGTTACTATGCAGATCTCCCCCACCTTCTACCACAGAAAAACCCCCAGAAGAGTTTGTTCTAAAATGTCCCGAACAAACTAGATTTTACTGAGCAAAGATTTAACAAAAGGACTGAATGAAAAACACAGAATAAAGAGTCCACAAGCTATGAGTTCTGGGATTATATGATTAGACCAGAGTACTAGCACAGGGAAAAGAGGGCCGGAACTAGGGGAAATGGTGGTGTCATGAAGGAATGAGGACTAATGATTTACCTGGTAGAGGTTAAGACAATACAGAAATATACTGAGCAAGCTATTACAAGGGTTTCAGAAAGGGAAAGGTACTGAAACAAGCTGCTAACAGTGGACTGGAAAGGAAATGATTGTCCTTCTTATTGGCCTGAGAAGTTTTAAATGATAATGTTACTTTAGAGAGTGAATTGAAGGACGTAGATAGAGAACTGGAAAAAGAACAGGTGCTAAATGCCTTTTCCGGCAGGTGCTTTTGATCACAACATAAAGACAGACCTCTCATAAGACTAAGCTAGTAACAAAAATGTCTGCTTGATTTTTTTTGAATTATGGAGGAAGAATTTGTTGTATGTAATTGAAAGGGGTTTTTTCCTTTTCATTAAGGGTGTAATTCTTTGTAAAGAACTTGTATGTGCTCTGTGCATCACTTAAGTGGGATTTAAGTGTTCCATACAACCTTGTGCTAACCCGCTGCACTGGGGTGGATTACGCCCAGAGAACAGAGCCTGGGTTTTACTGTCTAGATCACTGCTACTCAAAGTGGTGGTCCACGGACCGGTGCCGGCCTGTGCACACATTGGGGAAAAAAATTGCCGGTCCCCCACATCAGATAGCTTGAGAAGCACTGGTCTAGATGACTTTTGGTTTGGACTAGAGAAAACATCAAACCAAGAAAGAACGAACATAATGTCTCCATGAAAGACAGACATAGATGTTCACCTTGTAATATTGCACATCTGAACTGAAACAAAAAGTGGCATCCACCACTGCAGAAAGACAAGGGAGCACCTCTTCATTTAAAGCTACAGGATGCAGAAAACAGAATGGCATCACCTTTCAATTACATACACCAAATTCTTCCTCCATAATTAAAAAAAATCCCACTTAAGTGATGCACAGAGCACATACAAGTTCTCTACGAAGAATTCCACCCTTCATGAAAGGGAAAACCATAACAGCAAACATATTTCAACAAGGGAAAGTCACCAACAGTTCTCCTGAGGGAGAGTAAATCTCTCTGAGTCTTATGAAGTCTGTGAAAACACAAATAATAGATTTATCCCTCTGAGAAAAAACATTGGCAGTGACACAGCGGGTATTTAATCTGTTCTGATTTAAAGAATTTCACAGAGGTCCCAACCCTGTAAGGCAATCAGTACAGCTGGGTGGAAAATGATTTGCCTTTCCCAGGAACATTTTTAAGATTTTGAGAAAAGTTTCTGTCCCAAATCAGTATGAAAAGTCAAAATCTCAAAAATTTTGCAAACTAAAAAATAAAATTGGTTTGGGTCAATCAAAACATTACATTTTCAGATTTGATTTTTTAAAATATAATTTGCTTAAATTGCAAAACCAAAAGTCATTTTGAAGCAGAAAACTGGAATTTTCAAAAAAAAAAAAATTAGTAGAAAAATTTGTCGAACCTGATCCTTTCCTGCAAAAAGTTTCAAGTTTGATGGATCAGCATTTTCCAGTGAAAAAAACATTTTGCCAGAAAAATTCCTGACCAGCTCTATAGCTGAGCACCTTCAATTCCCAGCGAAAACAACAGAATTAAGAAAGCACTCTGCACCACACCGGATCAAGTCTAAACTGATGGAGGCAGGAAGGGAGAGGAATTTTTCTTCCATATCAGGCTGAGATTTTAGCTTGATGTGTATTATTCACAAGGTTTAGTTAAATATCAGTGACCTCATATTGAAAACAGCTGCCAAACTTTGTTCTTGGAGGAGATTGTGTGTGTGTGTGTGGGGGGGAAATAATCCAGGAGTCTGATGTCATGAACAGTGGGATGAGCTTATTCTGTCTAGAGTTGAGCAGAAAACCAGAAGTTGGATTCGTTCATACAGCAGCCAGAGCCTGCCTATCCACTGAGAAATCTCTCTCTTTACCAGCGTTTGCCTCCTCTGAGGTGTATTTGGCGTGAAGGTACGTGTTCCTGCTTCTCTTTAAGCAAATATGAAAAGCCCTCAATTATTCAAATTCACCACAATTTTTCTTTTCTTCCTCAGACAAATTCCTTGATTTTTTCCCCTCTGTTTATGTTTCAGTTACAAACCAGATTATGCTTCAAGGGAGGGTTATTATTAATTATGATTATTGCTTCAAATTTTGTTTTACTGTTAGACTCTATCTTTTGTAGTTTTGATGATTAATGGGATTTGCAGCCCAGAATGTCACCCCTTAACAGCAGCTAACGTGTCACTGACCCAGTGAAAAGAATAGGAGGGCTTGTGGCACGTTAGAGACTAACAAATTTATTCGAGCATAAGCTTTCGTGAGCTACAGCTCATTCATCAGATGCTTATGCTCAAATAAATTTGTTAGTCGCTAAGGTGCCACAAGAACTCCTTTTCTTTTTGCGGCTACAGACTAACACGGCTGCTACTCTGAAAACTAACCCAGTGGAATTTCAGTTGCCAAGTGACTACACTACATGTCAGAGGGCAAAGCATTAGTTGTAACCAAAGGTTACTTACTGTGTCTCACAAAAGTGCAAAATAATTCAGACCACAAACTTCCTAGTTTGTTTTCAGTGAGAGATTGCCAAACAAACTGTAGAGAAAACATACTGAGTGAACTCTCTCTTTTGTGTCCTTTACGGGTGTCTTGTCTTCTGTACTTGTTATTTGGATTGTGAGCTTTGTGGGGCAGGGACTGTCTTTTTATGTGTATCTTGCATTCCTGAGCTTTATTATCTGTGCTTAATAAATAACAGAAGATGAATATGAAAATCTAAAATGTTCAATGTACACCAAAGTTGACAGAGTTCAAGTTTACTTTTAAACATTATCAAGCTTCTTATTAAAAATTACACCTTGCTTTATATTATAGTAAAGGAAAAGTTTAATTTGTCAAAAAAAATGTGACTTGTAAGCTGATGATAATAAAAGAAGCTTAGAGTTGGAGTTATTTCTAGGAAGATATGGCAGAAAGAGCAGGTAACAATGTAACAATATATGCTGGACATTTTAAGTCACTCCTGGTGCCGCACTCGGTGACTTTTAGAGAAGTTGCAGCATTATAACAATAGTTATACAACAGCAGAACACCAGGACAGGGGAATTCAAATAGTTTGTCACTAGGATCCCCAAGTTTGAATTTCTTTTTACTACATTGTTGGATATTATTATTTTTAACAATGATATATTTTAAGGCTAAAATACAGAATATGTTAGAAAAATTTCTGTTTACACTCCATAATACCCCAAAGTCTCATATTCCAGCATGCCTTTTTGAAAGTATTGGGATAGCCAGTCATATCAATAATATGATTTCTGTTGTTATTGTTATTGTTGTCTTCTCTCTGTGGAAATTTGCAGATGAAAGAGAGAAAGATGTTTAAATGAGAGTTTCTTCCTAACTGAGAATTGTCCCAGGTTTACTTGTCTTCAATATTGTAAAGTTTAGAACTATACAGACTATACAGAAGGGAAGAGAAAGATCCAGGAATAGATGTGGCCAAATTCCTGGACAGGACTTTAGAACAACTGAAGAAGAAGAAGAGGCAGCCCCCAGAAAAATGTCCAGGGGTTTTACAATGAGCCCAATGCATGCTAAAACAGGATTTGAGTTTAGTCAGCGCTACCTGAACACTCCACAATCCAGACATCACCAGTGCGGCTTCTTGATTGGAGGAGCTCACCAGTAATGTGGGCCATAACTTTAAGAAACTCTCAGCACTATATATCTGAAGTCCTTCCTCAGGCAAAAAGCAACAGGAGTTTTGTAAGGTATCAGTATAGTGCCTGTAAAGAGTTTGTGTCCGTTTCCACCGATCTAGTCTTAAAATAAAACATTATGAGATAGATTGTAAGGGGAGAATCTTCAAAGGCACAAATGACAGTTAAAGGGATTGAAAATGAAGGAGAGATTTTCGAAAGCATCTAAGTGATTTAGGGGCACAAATCCTAAATCAATGGGTCTTGTGTTCCTATGCTGAGCTGGTCGGAAAACAAAGATTTGTTTTTTAAATTCATTTTGGTACACATTTTCAGTGGCAAAATTTTGAATCTTGTCAAAAATACAAATACTCTACAAATTTTCAATTTTCAGCAACCAAAAGTCAAAAATGAAAAAAATTAGTCCAAAAAACTGCTGAAAACTAAAAAAAAAAAAAAGGGGGGGAGGGAGGTTATTTGCCCCACATAAAATAATCAAAAATAACATAATAAGAAGAATAAATTGACAATTCAAGGAAAACAAATGTTTTAAGTAAAAATTTTCATTTTGTCAAAAATTCAGTTTTCAATAAAAAAAGAAGTTTGACCAGCCCTATACTTCAGTCAGTGCTTTTGAAAATCTCACCTTGACTGCCCTGTGTGTCTTTGAAAAATCTCTCCCTAGACAGATACACAGAGCTAGGTTTTCAAAGGGCTGATCTGCCTCCCTATTGCATTTGCAATATTTGTTCCCGATGTTGAATTGCAGGCACAAAGAGGAACCTATGTGTCTAACTACCTGACTGCAACTGCTATGCAACTATGCATGCAAATAGCACTTTAAAAAGGGTAGGCTGGAGCCGCAGCATGACTAAAAAGATAGCTCCACCTTTAAGCACTTTTACAAATAGAACAAGCCCTGTGTGAGGAGATAGTTTAAAAAGTATGATTTCTCCCCACAGGTGGAACCTGAGAACCAAATTCAGCCCATATTTAACATGTGCAACTCCCACAGCAGTGAATAGGAGTTGCACCCACTCATAGACTTTAAGGTCAGAAGGGACCATAATGATCATCTAGTCTAACCTCCTGCACAACGCAGGCCACAGAATCTCGCTCACCCACTCCTATAACAAACTCCTGACCTATGTCTGAGCTATTGAAGTCCTCAACTCGTGGTTTAAAGACTTCAAGGTGCAGAGAATCCTCCAGAAAGTGACCCGTGCCCCGCGCTGCAGAGGAAGGCAAAAATCCCCCAGGCCTCTGCCAATCTGCCCTGGAGGAAAATTCCTTCCCGACCCCAAATATGGCGATCAGCTAAACCCTGAGCATGTGGGCAAGACTCACCAGCCAGATACCCAGGAAAAAATTCTCTGTAGTAACTCAGATCCCACCCCATCTAACATCCCATCACAGGCCATTGAGCATATTCACTGCTAATACTCAAAGATCAATTAATTGCCAAAATTAGGCTATCCCATCATACCATCCCCTCCATAAACTTATCAAGCTTTGTCTTTAAGCCAGATATGTCTTTTGCGTCCACTGCTCCCCTTGGAAGGCTATTCCAGAATTTCACTCCTCTGATGGTTAGAAACCTTCGTCTAATTTCAAGTCTAAACTTCCTGATGGCCAGTTTATATCCATTTGTTCCTGTGTCCACATTGGTACTGAGCTTAAATAATTCCTCTCCCTCCCTGGTATTTATCCCTCTGATATATTTATAGAGAGCAATCGTATCTCCCCTCAGCATTCTTTTGGTTAGGCTAAACAGGCCAAGCTCTTTGAGTCTCCTTTCATAAGACAGGTTTTCCATTCCTCAGATCATCCTAGTAGCCCTTCTGTGTACCTGTTCCAGTTTGAATTCATCCTTCTTAAACATGGGAGACCAGAACTGCCCACTTATGATTTTGGCCCAGAGAGATTAAATGGCTTGTCCATTGTCACACAACAAATTAGCGGGAGAACCAGATTTAGATCTCAGCACTTCATGGCTCCCTGAACTCAGCGTCACACATCTGCATATATATATCCCACCCATGTGTATGTACGTCCCATTCACATTCTAGGGGCAAAGATAAAGAAAGGGAATTTAAGGGAGCATTATTCTGCTGTGTGTGCAGCCCCATGGTTTCTAGATGTTACAACACATACACTGGCAAGCAGTGAAATGTCATCACAGCACCGTAGTATCCTTCTTATTTGTGTGTATTGGAGTAGCTCCTAGGAGTGCTAGTCATGGACTCAGATCCTATTGCATTAGGTGCTGTACAAATACAGAACAATGGCTAAGAGCTTACAGTTTAAGGGTATGTCTACATTAGGCAGACACCATAGCCACATCACCATAGCTATGCTGGCATAACCCTGTTGTGTGGATGCAGCCCATGCTGATGGAAGGGTTTTTACCCCCCACTGTAGGAAAACTACCTTCCCTCATGATGGTAGATTGATTAACACAAGCATTTTTTCCATCGACACAGCTGTGTCTACATTGGGGGCTAGGTCGGCATAGCTATGTCAGTCAGGAGTAGGTGGTTTTTTTCACACACCGGACTGACGTGGCTAAATCAACCTGACTTTTAGATGTAGACCGGGCCGAAATAGAAGACTACAATCTAAGCATATGATGAAAGATAACAGGTAAATCCAGACAGCCAGGGAGTGCAAAGTTACCTGCTAAGAGGGGGACATTTTAGATATCAGGCTGATAACGGAATGGGCAAATTACAAAATGTTGAGGTACAAGATTTAGCTGCAAAGTTGCCAGATCCCAAATCTGAGTGGAATGTTTTGGGCCCAGATTGAATCCTCTCTCCTTGAGTCCCTGCACAAGGACCCCTGTTGCATCACATAGCCTTACTGTTGTGCTAACACAGGTTTTGAGGGTTTAAGACAAATATATGTTGAGAATGATTTTCCTTACGTACCGAGTAATTTCCTCATAGTGACGAGTTTAGCTTGCTTTCAGCACTGTGTACATTTTATATCCTTTCAATATTCTGACTCCTCAACTGAGTTCTAGGGGGTTGTTTTTCTTTAAAATACCCTTGATCTGATTGTTCAGGCGTATGGACCCTCTGATGCTGCCTACTCTGCACAATGTTCAGCTTTCACACTTATGCAAACCAATTAATCTCAATAGCGTCACATGGCTGCAACTGAGGACAGAATGAGGCCCTGGTTAATTTCAGATAGTGGGACTGTCAACATGCAGTCAAGGGTTTCTTCTGAGAGGTACCTCCGAGGTTACAGGTAGCCTCAGGA